AAAATAATAAAGCTGAGGCACCAGTGAATTAAGGAATTTTCCAAGATGTACACCTGGATCCATCTCGTTCAAGAGCGGAGTTTTTGCCCACTATATTTACACTCAAGCAAGGCTGGAGAAATGATGGAAAAACCCAGGAGCCACCCTCAGGGTCTGTCCTTGAAGATTACGGTTCCAAGGGCTGTGCACCTTGAAAACAGTGAGGACAGTCCTCTCTCCCTTTGTCCCCCAGCCCACTGTGGCACTGGCCTTCGGGAAGACACAGACCTGCTCCCGCTCCCAAGGTCTCTTCACTACGTTCCTCCGTAAATCGGTAAAACATGTGACATTGCCTTATCATCAACCAGAGATATGACACACAGCTGCATATGTGTAAGCCCTTACAAAGAGATGTTTCCTTTTTCATTTATTTCATTCATCCCTTAGAAGTTACATGCCCTCGTTGACTAAGTTGCAGGCAAGAATCCTTTTTTAAAGTAAAGAGACTGAAGAAACAAGCAGTAAAGTGTTTGCAGACCCACCACCACACACACTGGAAGCTGCTCTGGGGTTCTCCTGCAAAGAAGCTTCTGGGTGAAATCCCCCCACCCAGGGAAAATCACTAGCACTGATACCATGGGAATCATCGGCTGTCCTTCTTTAGGATAAGATCGAAATTATTCCACTTATGTGGCTTGGGACAGTTCTTCTGAAACATAATCATCACAGACTCACATATATAATATTAGCTAATAATAATAACAACTACAATAATACTGATAAACATTAACTAACATTGGGGTGCCTGGGTGGCTCAGTAGGTGAAGTGTCTGCCTTCGGCTCAGGTCATGATCCCAGGGATCGAGCCCCGTGTTGGGCTCCCTGCTCAGTGAGAAGCCTGCTTCTCCCTCTCCCTCTACCTCGCTCCCCTGCTCGTGCTCTCTGTCTCTCTCTCAAATAAATAAATAAAATCTTTTAAAAATATATTTTAAACATTAACATTAGCTAACAATTATAATACCTAATACTTAAAACTATAATATTAAGTAGCCATATGTAATAATTATGAAGTTCACTAATAATTATAATATGTATTAAGCACTGAGCACTGGACACCATGCAAGGCGCTCGGGGCTTATTTCCTAAATCCTCATGGCGATGTCATGAGACGAATACTATTCTTATCCTCATTTTACAGATAAGGAAATTGAGGCTTAGCAAGGTGAAATAACTTTCCCAAGGTCAAACAGTTCCAAGTGACAACAAAACATTTGCTTGGGGAACCAGAATTAATGTGGTTTTTCCAAGATCCTGGAGTGAACAGTGTCCCTCCAGACCCTCCAAGGCTAACTCAATCATACGCCCAAACTTCAAGAATGTAAGACATCAAATAATCCTAAGAACGCCACACGTTTGTTCACCATCTCTGGAAGGATGCATAGGGCACTCACACCTGGCCTACAGAACATGTAGAAGATTGGTCAGTGGTAAAAGTTTCCGTCAATGAGTGTCAACAGCATACTGAAAGGCCACTAAAGCCATTTTCTTCAATAAAAATCATTTTTAATCTAGTAATCCAAAAATGTGCTCTTTATGCGTCAACTAAAAGTTTCTGAGGTCATCGACAGCCACAAAAGATTTTGCAGTTTTACATCTGGAATTTTCCCTCCTCTGTTTCTGTTAAAAGATGTTCCACAGACACTAAGCCGTTGCTGATGGGTTATGCTCAGAGGGACAACCAGCCTCTTCTCTCTTGTTCCCTCTTTGCCCTCGGGAAACTGCGTGAACTTTCAGGGCTATGGGTTGGGGCATTCAAGAGCCAGCACTGGGGCTGTTCCCAGCCAGCTGCTGGCCAAGGGTATTATCCCTGGCTGAGTGAAACCCAAGCTGCAGGATGGCCCAGGAACTAGATATAAAAGGAAACAGCCCCCTTGCTGGTGTCCAGCCCTCAGGACTGATGAAAGGGCTTCCTCCCACAGCCCCCTAAAGGCTCAAATGCTCCCAGAAATGTCAGTCTCCCATAGACACCACAGGTTCAAGCCTAAAATCAAAGCCTGAATCACTGCCAAGGAGAAGTGGCTCCTTCGGTTACCCTTGTTTCTTCAGGCAGGTCTATCCTGCACAGAATGAAGGCAGGAACCGGAGGGGTGATTCTGAGCCTGGTCCCAGGGAAATCAGACGCCGCGTTATGGGGTCCGCTCCTAGTACCTATTTTTGGCCTGTTTGAATTCCTAGAGCGTTTAAAACTGTGGCCTTAGAGATGTTTGCTCTTGTCACTGTGACATCATTTTCCCCAAATAATACTATTACACATGCTAACTTTACACTTTTGGTATAGTTACATCCCACACGCAAGTACAATTGACCCTTGAACAACACAACTTTTAAACTGCATGGGTCCACCTATATGCAGATTTTTTTTCTGTAACCACAGAAAGTATTGTAAATGTATTTTCTCTTTCTTATGATTTTCTTAATAACACTTTCTTTTCTCTAGCCTACTTATTTCAAGAATACAGCTTATATTACATATAACATACAAAATATGTGTTAATCAACTGTTTATGTTGTCAGTAAGCCTTCTGGTCAACAGGTCATTAGTGAAGTTTTGGGGAGTCAAAAGTTATACGTGGATTTTCGACGGTGCTGGTGTGAGTGCCCCTAACCACCACCACCACCCCCCACGCACTGTTCAAGGGTCAACTGTAATCACACCCAGGAGTCATTTTGGTACTCTGTTTCATCACACCCTCCAAATATGGTTACACAAAATGTCCTTTATTTGCAACTTTAAATTAGTCTAAGTCGGACAGAATGATTGGCAGAAAAAGCCTCTGATTCTATAATACATGCGAACACAACGCGACACAAATCACATGTTAAAAATTCCGGTATCAAACACGCCCGCTTCCTGGAATCCCTTTCCCACCCAGCTAGCCCGGATCACTCATTTTCCGCACTTCTTCAAGGCGGTTAAAGCAAACGCAGAAAGCAAAGGCACGCAGGCTTACTGCGGAGCCACGGCTGACTTACACACTGCTCACAAAACAAACTTCAGGCCAACGCTGGGCCAGACCCGCTTCTTCCACTTCCCGGTCTGAGGTCCTCAGAGAATCCGACAGGAAGAAAAGCCCCCACCCATTCCAGCAGACACCTACCGCTATGGACCCAGAAGATGTGGCAACAAACACTTTGATAACCATTTTGGCAGTCGGACAGAGGGCTCCCCCCAACACGCCCCCGCGAGGGAACGCGGCGCTAGACGGATCCCGATCGCGGCCCGCGCCGGGCAGGTAGCGGGTGCCAGGTGCGAGCTGGCGGCCGCCCAGCGCCGTCTGAGCCCCCGCGCCTCC